GCCCCCCCCCCCCCCCCCCCCCCCCCGCAGGGCCTCCAAAGAAAAGACGGACCAGATTATCTAAGCAGATGGAATGGCTTCTGGGGTCAGCCAGGTGGGTCGTGAGTCAGTATTATGAATCACACACACACACACACACACACACACACGCATGCGCACGCACACACAGTACATGTTCGCATTTGAGACAGCGCGGGCTGGGTGGGTGTGGGGAGAAGTGGTGCACCCAGGCTGGCCTTAACACACCCTTTCTAACAGCTCTGGGAACAAACACACCCTTTGATTCAGAAGTGCTGTTCAGGAGCGGTGGATGTGAACAAAGCTCCCAGAGGGGAGGCAAAGGGCCTTGAGGAAGCCTGCCATGATAGGGGTGGGGGCCGGGGAAGGCAGGTACTGTGTGTGTGTGTGTGTGTGTGTGTGTGTGGAGGAGGGGGGGAGGGCACTAGAGGTCTGAGCCACTTAAAGGGTAGGAGAGCCCCTCTGGGCTCGGGGATGGGCTTACCACAGTCCTCTGAGGAAAACAAGATGCTGAGTGATGGGCACAATGTCTCTATTTGTAAAGCATGTGACAAACTATGAACTCTTGCACGCTGGCCAGTCCTGCGCCATGCTCACAATGACTACATTTGAGCCCATTGCTGCGGTCACGGCGTCTTCCAGCTCTTTGTTGCTGACCCTCCGCTTCCCCAAACATGATGTCCGTTTCCAGGGACTGGCCTTCCCTTGGAGCACACCCTGTGTTGGGTGTGGTGGGGACAAAGGACAAGACCCCTGCTGTGAGGGCAAGCCAAGGCTTTATAGAGTGGCCATTCCCAGTCTGTGGATGGGCTTGGGCTGAACACCCCCAGGGGCACAGATCTCCTAGGAGTCAGTGGGCATGTCCAAGGATCCTGCAGGGCTAGCATGATGATGCTCCCATCCATGTACTTGGCCTTGTAGAGGCATCTGCTGGGCCCCTCATCTGCAGCAGACCCCACCCGCCCCCCCAACTTGGAGCAGGCACAAACCCCAGCAGGTCACAGCAGGGGGCAGGGCAGCACTTGGGGGTATGGGCCGGAGCCAGGCTGGGCCCACGGAGGACAAGGACACCCCAGTCCCTGGGGCAAGGCCCTGCAGCTCCCTCCTCTCCAGGGTCACTACGACCGACCGCGTGGAACAATGGATGGCTTCCTTCCTCTGGCCTGAGACAGTGCTGTTTGCCGAAAGGTGAGGTCTGTATGCTGGGGAGCAGTCCCTGCGGCTCATGTGAGGAGGGGAAGTGGGCGTAAGCCCCCTGTCCAGGAGGGCTTTGAGTAAAGCTTGGATTCCAGATGTTCAGCAGCTATCTTGGCCATTTCCGCCCCCCTCGGGTCCCCACATCCAACAGGAAGCTTCCCTGTCTGTCCTTGGGTAAAGACCCTCCACCTTCCCTGCACCCTACTTCCTGAGCAGAGGCATTTGTGCAGACTCAGCGCCCCTCCCGCTGGGCGGGCACAGCTCCCAGAGCCTGGACACATCTGCTCAGGAGGGCTACCCTGCCAGGCCCTGTCTGCCCCGCCCTGAGGCTGGCTTTCTCCTTCTTTGCCTTCTCCAAGGCTAGCTCCCTCTGCACTCTGCACGGCAGACATCAGGGCCTCAGGGAGGCCTGGGGCACTGTGGAGGGAACCCCCTCCAAAGGGCCGGGGGTGGGGTGTGTGCTTGCCTGGGGAAGAAGCCCAGAGGTCACACAGGGCTGAGAGGGCTAGGGAGGAGGGGTACAGCTCCACCCCTAGCCCTGTCCCTTACTTCCCCAAACAGATGGGGAGGGGGCACAGGAGGTCATCACTGCCACAGCTGGTCCAGTCTGGGGGCTCTTGGCCAGAGCAGGGGGAGGGTTGCTTTCCTGTCACATGCCTTCCTGCCTCACAGCACTGCCCTGGTCCTGGGGCTCTCACTCCAGGGTGGCCTGGTGGGGTCAGGGGCTGGGCCAGACCCAGGCTGAGCCCAAAACCCAGGGGCCAGCGGTTCCAGACTCCCGAACCTCTGCCTCGCCCTTCTCCCAGGCTTCCTGCCTGTTTGCAGCTGGGGAGCCAGGGCTCTAGGCCCTAGAGGGGTGGGAGGCAGGTGAGCAGAGTCTGAGAACAGATCAGGAGGGAGGGTCAAGTGGGCAGTGTGCTCTTCTTGGGGGGTGAAGACAATGTGGGCTACTGGCCCCTTACACCCCCCCTGCCCACAATCCAGATAAGATGGGGGTCCTCCAGGTACCCTCCCCCACCCCTGTCTGAATCCTTGTGAAGTAGGGTCTGGATTCCCAAATAGGTAGGTACTCTGCTCTCTTGGGTGGGGGTGAGGTGACTTCTTTGAGCTCATCAAAAAAATAA